ATAATTGTTTATACACACATTTATATGCATGCTCGACACGATTTAACTTTTGGACCGAACTGAAATTCAATAATAATTCATGTTATATTATCTCTAAGTTTACACAATAAATATGTATTAATTTATGTTTGAAATTTGGAAAATTACTTAATAAAATTACTCTCCGTTTATCAGAAACCAAATTTTAATTAAATAAAATATTTTATTTTAAGAATTAAATTTTTATTCTATAAATATAAATAATTAAGTATTTATAAAAGAGATTATCAATTTTAACATAATTTTAATTTGCAATTTCAGTACTTTCTTCTCCAGCATTGAACACCGCGCGAATAATTCAGGATTGAAAAATGTGTTGCGTGTGATGCGATCTTGAAATACTACAATTATTACAGGCCATTCCTAATCAATCTTATCTTAAGACATCTTAAATATTATCCTAAGATGCTAATACGGCACTGTGATTAGTTTATGACATCTTAAGACTTAAGATGGTCTTAAGTATATAAGAATCGACTATGAATACCGGCCACAGTGAATGCTAATCGCGATCGTATCGGCGAGTATCACGCGAGGTACAAAAAAAAAGATAGAGAAATAACTACTTCGCGTGCACGTAGACATAAAGGTCCTAATAAGAAGGGAATGAAAGATTTTTCCAGACGAGAAGGTGGCTCGATTAGTTGTAAAAACACTGCTGAAGTCATTTAGTGCTGAAGTCACCCTGCCGTCACTTCGCGTGAAAGACGATCTGGCTAAATAATCGCTTTCAAGCTTCCGCGAGTGTAATTACCTGACACTTAAGTCGTCTGTCTTATGGCGGCAGCATAGTTTACCGAGCAGAGCTTAGGAACTTGTTCACGCTTTCTCGATAATTCAAGCTTTCCGTCGAACGAAACTTTCTACGGACCTACCGAACATCGGCACAAACATATATCAAGAATTTCCAACGCGCAGCACATCCGGGGTGTTACTGTCTCCCATAAAGTATACAGGAAGTTACACGGAATTCGCGAGCGAATTATCCTTTCCTGCGATTGAACTTTTAATCGTTTATTAGCTGAAAGACAGCAAGGGAATTATTAACTTTGTCAAAGAAATAATTAAGTTGCAAGTGTGCAGTAACCGAAATAAAATTTAAAATTGGGCTTGCAGAATTTCTTATATGTAGATCGTACGTGATCCTTAACTAAACTATATTACAACTATCTTTTAAGGCTTTAGCAAAGAAAGTCGGGAACTAGGGTACGCTATAACCTTCCTTTACGTTATACATAATGTAACATGCTTTTCTAATGATACTCAAGAGAGACTGCCAGCATTAAATTAAAACACTTTAAAAACTTAATTAAAGTTACTTAAATTCGACCATTAAAAATTTATTAAAAAAGATCTTTGAGCTTTTTTTATTTCCTAAAACAGTTATAAAAGTGTTTACTAATTATTTAGCCTACAATGTTAAATAAATAAAAATATAGTGTTGAAATAAGTGCTTGAAAATATAGTATTGAAATAAATGCTTGAAAATTTGAATACCGTCTGAAATACCGTACATTTTTAAAACCTATTAAATAGATACCAAAAAATGATACTTCAAATGTAAATTTTCAAACATTTAAATCGCAACACTACAATTTCTTTATCTAACTTTATAGGCTGATTAATTAAAAAATTTATTTGTATAATTATTTAATATATATATATATATTTATTTATTTATCAGATAAGTCTATTTATAATGTATGTATTTTTATGAAACGTCTGCTGCAATTTATAATAAAGTAACATTTATACTACAAGAACTGCGTCGGGTCTAAAAGGCATTTATTTAATTCTTTGATTATATTAAATTTCGGATTAAAATTTAAAATAGCCGATGTTATATTTACTCGGAAATAGCATAAAGGGAACAATAAGTTTTCATTTATTGTAAAAAATCATTAAGTAATCATTAACTAACAGTAAGCAGAGAATATTGTTGGATATCGACTTGCTGTATTTGCAAACATAATTTGTTAGACCTGAAGGTAAAAGTATCAATCTCTTGCGATTGCTATTTAGCGATTGCGCAATTCTGTGTTAAACGCTGTTAAGCTGATGTACTGCGCCAACGTAAACGAGTGAATATGTTTCACTGAACAATACGAAAATCATTTCTCTAAACAATATTTTTCTCAAAAATCAAATAAAATATTAATAATTGAGAAAACTTGTAATATATTGTTTGCACGGATGCTAGCTGAAAAGCAAAAATTTGAATGGAGAAAAGGAAAGCACCAACTGAAACGTTTCAAATATTTACGGTGCAAAAGGGAGTTTCTCTCGTTCGTGCGTTTTTCGAAGTTTGCAGAAATATCAAACAATCTCTATCGTAGCACAACATTACAATTTATTCTTCGTATGCGTCTTTGTAAAATGTAAACGTGTACGTTTACATTTCGTTTACGTTTCAATTTTATTACAAGAGAACTACTTTCCAAGGTCCCTCCGGGCACCTGTCAAAGATGATGCGGATGAAATGATTTGCAACGATGGTCCTTTAATCGTCTGAAATATTTCATTTCACGTCAATCTGTTAACGAGGGTATAGCCTGCAAGGGCGCGTAATGCAGTTGTTAATTCGCTTCTTGTTTACGTCGCTGTCAGTTTCAATTCCCGTTGCGAGTTTTCGCCTATCCGTCGATTATCGATGTAAAACGACGGGCGTGTTGGGTACGAAACAGGAACGTCGATCAGTCTTGCGGCAAATCATCCGTGTATCGTGCGTGTGTATATACATTATACACATATCCAAGCTGGATGCACGAGTGTGATGTGTACATTCGCGCGGCCCTTAAATTATTTTAGCCGTTACTGCAAGGTATTATCCTCGCTTGTTAGCGTCACGCGCAAACACCCGACTCTGAATTTCGCGAAAAATATCACCTGGCTGGCTTACCAGGTAAGTTTCGTTACCATGCCAGTGCCAGCTTTTGTCACACCAAGCCCCAGAACTGACCTGGAAAATCATGGGACCGGCTTGAAACGCGAGGCTTTTTCGTTACATTTGAAAACGAGTCGTATTACACAGGTATTTTTTTTTTGCGAAGTTCTTTCTTGCTGTACTATTCCTATTTCAGTTTGTATATATTCATCCAGCTCAACTTTTAAGATATATTAAATAGTACTGGTTGGATCGATAAATATACACAATTAATTTGCTGATGCTTGCTTGATTGCAATATTCTCTTTTGTTATTACGCTAATCTTATTACAAAAAGGAAATATCTATCTTTTGATCTTTTTATTAAAAAAATTTTCCCAGCGGAAGACACCGTTATTATTGCGATTACTCGATAGATTCGAATGTGTTAATATATAAAATATATAATATGTTTTTACATAGTTATTATTGATTATTATTTGGAAAGTAGAAAAAGCGTTGAAAATGCTGTAATTATTATTATTTCATATTATGTAATTATTTTGATTATCTAAGAAATAAGAAAAATAAAAATATTAAAATTGATAAGTCACGGTAAGGTATAATATAATCGTCATATACGCCCTTTTGCTTTCTCTTTATATTTTTAAGATTTATCTGAGACAATCTCAGTTTTTTCAAAGTACAGAGCGCATATGTTTTTTTAAAGTAACATTTTTTAAAAAGTACAGAGCGCATATGGTTTTTTTTGTAAATCTCTTTTTTGCGACGGAGTTTTAACATTTTCAATACTAGCATTACCTGGGATTAATCCTCTGAAATCATAGTTTATGCTTTTGTAAAAACTTTTCCGATGTCCCGACTTTATGAATATGCTTCTGTTAGCGTTTTAACAATAGCTGCTACCTCCAATCCAAGGCTAACGAGTGGCTTTTATAAATCTCTTAAGGGATTTTAATTTTGAAGTTCGTAACTCCTTTCTCATCATTCTGTTATACAGCAATGGGAAAGCTGTACCTTCGAACGTAATGAAGCTGGCGTATGTAGAGACAAAATTAAATAATAAAAAAATGAAACATTATACAATGAGATACACGCTAAAAAGATTTGCAGTATTAATT